GTACATGCAAAAGAGACACTCTAGATACTACTTAGTCTACTCTATTACTCTCTATATATTATAATATTGCGTTGTTGAGATAAACGTTCATAAAGGTGCGCAAACTTGGTGGGGTGGCCAACTCGCTTGCCTGGCCAACTCGCTTATCCAGCACGTTATATTGGAGTTGAAGTCTAGTTCGGATGAATGGGTCGTGAATATGTTGCCGTTACGCACAATATATAAAATATACAAGAAGATAAGTTCTAAGAGACTACTCTAGCTCTTAACAAGACACAATTCCTCCAACCACTTACTAATCCCTACACTCGGTACATCCACGAACCTCCAAAAAACATCTGCCGCCCAAATCGTCACAACCGTCTGAATGACCCATGAAAGACCAAGACCCAATTCATACCGGTACAGCGTATCATTCCCAGTAAACGACCACAAGAACAACATACTCCTGTACCCAAAGCTATTAATCATAGCCTGATGCACACAATACAGTGCAAACGATATCTTCCCCAGATACTTTGCAACATGCGTGGTAAACATGGATTGTAGAAAGGGCGACCGAGACACAACGTAAACTAGTAGTACGGTGCCTATGGTAATGAATAGATTGGAAGAACGTATCGATGGGCCAAATACTGCACTTGCAATGTAGTGGAGTGGGGCAGAAAAGAGCGCCTTTTCACCATGGGCAGCAGGATAGGACGAAACAAACAGTCCAAGTGCAAACAACAAACTCGATTGAATCTTCTGCTTGCGAGACTCGATATTTCGACTGGACGCAGAAGCAGCAAGCTCTTTCCGTATAAGATACAATTCTGCTAGCGTAGTCCCGGCAAGGAAGAGCGTGGCCTCTGGATGATTTTGGAACAGGAAGTACACCGCAATTGCAGTGGTAATGCCCATTCGTGCGGCCGGCCGTACTTTTGCGAGTCCGATCAGCGCGAGGAAGCTGATGAAGGAACAGCTGAGTTCGATGGGAATGGTCCAGAGTTGCACGCCGTAAGGCGGGTGTCGCGTCCGTCGTGCAAGCGGATCAGACCACGTCCACACCTGGCCCGTCCAGTCGGCGAATTGCTTCGAAAGCGAGTGATATGCGATCGGTATCCGTAATGGTTTGCTGAGAAATGGCCAGTTTTTTGTTAGAGCGTACGAGAAGTCGAAGGCTCCGCAACATGCAACTACAAAGGTAATTGCGAGTGTGACCAAGCATGGCAGGTAGAGTCTGCATGGTCGACGGAATGTCGCAGATACCATGGTGTCGAGGAAAGCGCTGTAGGATCCGTTGCGGATGAGCTTCAGTGGCTTCAAGGAGATGGAGAAGCCGGAGATGACGAAGAATAGGAAGACGCTGACGTGCCCGCTGTAGATTAGCCGGATGATTGGTAGCTGGGTAAACCAGAGGTCATCGTCGCCATTGGAGTCGCTATACCCGCGGTTCGCCTGAGGATGTGTCGGCATGAAGAAATGGCAACAGTAGACGATGAAGGCCGCATAGCCTCGCATGCCGTCGAGGAAATCCGTCGGCCGTATCTCATCTCTCGCAGCTGTGGTGTTGTGCAAAAGAAAACTCGGTAGTAAATTTCGCAGGATCCGCCGATGTATGGATCGATATCTTGTCGAGACGCCAAGGAGTGAGGGGGATGGGAGACCTTTCTCCGTCTCCCCCATAGTAGTTTCCGCTATGTTTAGCATTTTTTGTGCGCATAGCGAGTTGGCCTTTTCCGTTGGTATGTGGTATATAATCTACCTTTTGAAAAGGGGCGTTGGAAAGCGACTGCGTAAGTGTATTAATTTCAGGGGCCGTGGCTGATCGCGACTTCCGAGAGCATAAAAAGAAGATAGTCGAGCGAGGGTGATTGTGGCGTTTGCTAGTGTGAGCGAGATGCAAAGGTGGACGGGAGTGATGGTGGCGTTTTTAGCGTCCTGGCAGTGGCTTGGAGGCGGGCTTGGAAACAGGCTTGATTAGGAGTAGTTCATAGGAGACTGCAAGCCATGGTGGAGGCTAAAAAAGGTATTGAACTTTGTTGGCCAGACCGACTAGTGCCTGAAAACGTTCACATGTCGCGTGCGATATATCCCGATAGAGTGCTCAGGTTCGCTTTCCTCCGAGCCGATGCTTGGTGACCGCGTATGTTCCCCCTAGTCCAATTACTCGATGTGACAGCCGAAAAAGACCGGACGCGGACGGGCTGTAGCAACTACCAAGACCCCTTCTGAACCGAAGTTGCCCCGTGAATTGAATACCGAGGCCTGCTTTTCACCATGTTCACAGTACATTGTATTTTCGTGTACGTAGTCTATAACAGATTGGGATTGGAATTCCTGGCCTGTCATTCACTGTCTCAAAAGTCCACTACATACGGGAACATCCAAGTCAATTAGATACAGGCACGTCATTAGTATCCATCTTCGCTTCGGATTCACCAGTGATCAAGTTTATCAGTTACGATTTTCATTTTAAGCCAAAATATATAAAAGGCATATTAACATCATAGACGCGCAAGCCTAGAAAAGACATTGCGGCTAAAGAACAAAGAAAAGAACAGAGATAGCTTCTCCACCAGCCTGCCGAAACTGTTCAATATCGGCGCGCCACATTTTCCACCTACGCAAGAGGATACACTTAAACGAGAATGGCGAACTTAGCAGGCGCCTTAGCGGGAGCAGATGCCGCCTTGCGACGCTGAAGAACACCACCGCGCTTGACGTAGCCAGCAGATGCATGGCCGTAGCTCTCGACAGGCTCCTGATAGTCTGAGGACGGGTCAGCAGCATAAGGAGTCGTGCTGGTAGTAGCGTCTCCAGTGGTGTAGCTGGGAGCAGAGCTGTAGACAGGGGCTGAGCTGTAGACGGCATCAGGGGTAGCAACAGGATAAGTAGAGGTCTGCTCGAAACTGCAAGTATACGGCTGGTGAGCGGCGGTGACGGTGACGGTCTCGGCAGGGTGATGGTAGACACCGGCCTCGTACTGAGTAACGGAAGGATAAGTAACCGTGGTGTCGTGGTCGTAAACGGTTGTAGTGGGCTTGACAATGGTGTATGTTCCGGCGGTAGAGCATGTAACAGTTGTGCTGTGAACGACAGTGTTGGTCATGGTGCCTTCAGTCTCGTATCCAATGTACACAGCGGCGATGGTGGTTGGCTTAGTGACTTCGGCGATCTGACCCCCGTAGGTGACGGGCTTGTTGGCCTCAGCGTGGTAGGTCTGCTCGGCAGCGACAATGGTAGGGGTTGCGACAGTGATGTCGTTGGCAGGCACAGTGTAGACGCCAGGGGCATCGAAGGTGGTCACCTGGGGTTTGGGTGCGCCGTAGGTAAAGGTATGCGTATAAGTGGACCACTTTCCACCAGAGTACTTCTTGATTGTCATACCCTGCTCATCCTTGTTGCCCGTGTACTTTGGGTTTCCGGGATATCCAGGGATCGCATGTGATCCGATATGGTCGTAAGGAATTTCGTGAATCTCCTCATAGAGCTCGTACCATGTCTTATTGGTTTGTGGTGCACTCGATCCTCCGTAGTAGCCAGTTGGGTGGGCATAGCCAGTTGGGTGAGCATATCCTTCAGGCGTAGCAGTGACAGTGTGGGTGATGGTTTTCTTTGTTTGATACACAGTCACGTCCTGGTTGGCTGCAGTTACAGTGACCTCTTTGCCATAGCCATCAGTAATCACAGTCGAGATAGCCTCGTATTCCGACCATTCACCGTTGACATAGGTCGGGACTGGCTGATACTGGGCTGTAACAGTGACTGGTTCTTTGCCATGCCCAGGATAGACGGTAGTATAACCGAGCTTGGATGAGGTCGACTGAACGCCATAGCCATAGTCGGCTGCGACAGCTGTCGCAAGGGAGATAATGGAGATGGACTTCATTTTCGACAGCGAGTATTAAAGAATGACTGAGGTTGGATATTAAACAATAAAATAATAAACTACTCAAAGGACTTGAAGTGCTGAGTAGGGGGCAGAGCAAAGAGCAAGAACTCGACGATCAAAGAGTGACTGTGGGTAGGGGACAGAAGATTCCATCGTGGGTAGGGCAGCATAATATTGTATGTACACTGTGAATGGACCACCCTTTCCGCGGACGGCAGAATTTGCCAAGATCGGCTATCTTACCGTAACGATAGACCTCCCGCTTTCTCGGAACTTGGTATAGCCGCCAGCAGCTACAGGAGTATCACACTTAGTCACTCCGCACTTTAGCGCACAACCGGAGTGCCAAGAATGGTGGAGATTGACTACCGAAGCGAACAGCCACCAACTACCGAAGATCAGTGCATTGTCTCGTGCCTCGTTTCCTTTTCCAGCTGCAGCTGAACAACTGAGGGGCTATATGTGAATTGAAGGATGCACAGAGCTTTAGTTGGTCTTTTCTGGCTTACGGGGGCAAAAAAATTTCAGACTGCTTGCTTCTTGGCAACTGCAGTGGCGGAATCATGGGACGAATGTAGTACGTCGCTTACTCGTAAGCAGCCTGAGACCTCTGCGGATAGTCTTTGTTGAGCAGCACCATGGCTGTACTGACCGGTTCCAAGGAGGCACTGGTTCAGGGAGGTGAAATCAAACCCGCTCAGGGGAAGAGTGCTTCCATTGCACTTTCTGTGCTCGAAGACCGCCTACTAACTATTTGGTGACCGTCCAAAAGACTCCAGGTTACAAGTATCGAATTGCGGAAGAGTAATGAAATCTATTGTTGCGCTATTTTGGTATTGTACAAAAGGAAAAAGAGAACTGCAGACTAGATCTCGTAGCTGGAGACGTCTGGTAATATTCCATTGAAAAACTCGCTCATCACTGTCCTCAGCTGTTCCAACTCCTGCTTGTTGGAAGTGACAACATCATCGTTCAAACAGATTTGACCGGCCTTCTTGTTTTGTTTAAGATATGGCCTCAGCAAAATATGCTCAGCTTGTTCCGCATCTGTGATCATATAGAACATTGCATCTGGATTGACAACCGTGTACTGGAATTTGATCAGTGCTTTGATCACCATCTCCCGCTGCTTGGCCTTTTGAACAGGATGAGGTAGAAGCGGCTCCAGCCCGGCTCGTTGCCGGTTCAGAATCAGTTTGATCAAGCAATCGCCACAGCGTGGCGACTCACGTGTGACTCGATCAAAGATTGTTGCAGTAGAGAATACGGGGCTGCGTGCTTCAGCATCACTGGATGATATAGAAAATCCCGGGGCCAAGCAATCTTCCATATCGAATGCATCGCAGTCAAGATCCTTGATCATAATTGGTCCGTCCAGAGATGTCCAGAGGACATCATTGTTCACAACTGGGGGTTTGAGTCCAGCTTGTTCAAGATAGTCCTGGACGTGGTAGTATATCCGGCGTCGGAATATTTCTGGGGTTTCATTGCTCAAACCCTCTGCTAGATCATTTATGACAGTCTGGCGTTCATCCCAGTCCAAGTAGCCATCATTGTTGCTGTCGCTTCGCATCATGATGTAGCTCCAAAGTAGGGCCTCGCGATGTCTCTCCATAGTGTAATGGAAGATGATATACCACGAGTAGAGCTGAAAGCCAGTCTCACCTCGGAACCGTTGGTATGCACTTCTCAAAGCCGGTCTAGGGAAGCTAGTGATTGCCTCTCTCGCGATGCTCCGAGAAAGAGAGTGACCGAAGTGCACTTGACCCTTGCGCTTGCGGGCACCAAATCGTCGGTTCAGAAGCCAGGACGTGTAAATTAAGAAGGGCTTCTCTCCAAATCTCTCAGCATCTTTCTCGGTAGGAGGCTGTAGTGTGTTGTATGCATTGGTTTTGAAGCCAAGAGTAGGGCCGAATAGTGGGGAATATATATCGGACGGTGAATGGTGCTTGCCCAAAATCATGTCGTCGGAGAGTGCAAACAGCTATATGATGTTAACATGATGCTGATTACTGGTACGAGGGGTATTCGAGACTTACTCTATCTACTTCAGACTTGGTATTATAGAGTTGGTTCTCGATAGTAAGAGAATCGAAACTCGGCAAACATTTTCGTTCCTCAGGTCCAAAAAACTCTTCCTGGCTAAGGACCTGAACTTTTTCCATATCAGGCCTCAACCAGTGAGGCCATTGCTTACCATACGTAGTTGGTGATGTATCATCTATCTTGGCATTCTTGAAAGCGTTGACGAGAATCTGGATTCGGTTCGTGAAATGACCGGCATATTTCTCGATACTGCGCATAGAGTAACGGAGCTCATCCCACTCGCGATATCTGTTGGAGCCGTGCGATTTAATCCAGACTCCATCTGCGTCGTTTAGTGAAGAGTTTAGTTCATAAGGCTTCATAGTCTCGGTCAACTCTTTCTGTGATCCATTCACCCCTGCAAACATGATTAGTAAGTGGGACGTGACGTTTGTTGTAGCAATACTCACAAGTATAAACAAAGTCAATCTTGGGCTCGCCAAGCTTCGGGCCTGAGTAATGCGCCTTCGAAATCCATTCATCCTCCCAACCTTCGAGGACCACGTCCTTGACAGAGACTTCAAATGGGACATGGTAGAGGTCTGGAAGCCCTTCAGCCTTCTCTTTAAGTTCTTCGCATTGGTCCCAGCTAGGAAAGTCGTAATTCTCTGACCAAGGTGTCTGGGTTTCCAATGTCTCAACGGGTATCGGATTCTCGTTGATATTCTGAGGCTGAGCTAGATCATTGGTTTCGACCTTAGCATTCGTGTCCATAATCGGAATTTGGGCATTTTCATTGGATGGGACATCTTCAGACTCGGATCCAGCAGCATCATCATCGTCGTCAGGGTGGTTTAATTTTGAAGCATGTTCCACACTGCCTTCGTTCCGATGCTCTTCGATTTTCTCAATACCGTCTAGATCGTGATTTTCGGTGTCATCGTCAGTGGTCAACGTAGAGCCACCCCCTACTGAAGATCCAGCATTGTGGCTGTGAATGTTACGAGGTCGAGTATCGGGACGGGGCGAAGGAATGAGGTAAGGAACTTCAGCATTCCAGATTCGCTCTGAGTTGGGGTGCGAATGGCGGACGTTAAAGCGCCCAGCGCGAGGCGACTCTGCTTCGATTATCGCATCGACAGTTTCCGGAAATGGGTTTGGAGCGAGAGGCTCCAAGCCGGCTTCTGAATTCGCCAATTTCCTCCATGCGACTGTGCTAGAATTCCAGAAGCAAAAAACAAAGAGAATGATCAAGGCCCAGATGTACCGGCGGAACGAACGGCGTGGCCTGTGAAGCACATTGCTCCGGCCAATCATGACGCGCTAAATAACTGAAAGAGGTAACTCAAGGCTACAGACATGAGGAGGGTAATAGAATAGAAAAGGTTCACACAAGGCCAGACTGGCACAAACTGTGATGTGATTCAGAGTCTGCGTAAGGAAGAAATATAGTATTCAGTGGTGCACTTGTCATATTGTTCATTTGCCATGTGGCGGGGGAGTCTCGCAGTAGACCGACACCGCCCTGCACCCCTAAATCACGGTGCATTTGGGAACAGAAGATCCACCCTTGGTGTTTTTTCTTCTAGGTTAAGCGGATCTTCCGTTCAGCGCTCTGGCACTAGAGTACAATTGACTAGGATGCGATACCGATGTGATGTGGTGCTAGTGTCAAGGCTAGCGCATACCAATTTCCACATGAGCACGTCCTGGTCTACCGATCGCCACCACCAAACCACCCCGACGGGTGTATGATCTCCTGTGCGTCTCCACGAGCCGTCGCTCAGGCACAGCCATCGACACTGACACTGGATATGCCTAATGTCCCGCGGGCTGAGCTGCTCGAATTTTGTTTCCAAGACGGCTTGCTCGTCAGTGCACTAGATAGTGGGTTATTTAGTGTGTATTCTCGCTCAAAACGTCGCCACGCTTACAACGCCGTTCCTCCGCGGCTGCCCTTGTATTCACGGCAATTTCCGAATACTTGTGCGTTTGCATTCCATAGAACCTGTTGGGATTTTTTTCCATGATACATCCAGCAAATAGTGTTTTTGTGCAACTTGGGGGCCAGCATCAGTATTCTGAGTTGTCATATTCTGCCTTCTTCTTTGGCACCACTCTTTTTCTTATCTTTGTTACTTTGGCCGTGGCCTGGATCGTGATTGATAAGGGATGTCTGGGCCAGTTTCTACTACTCGGAGGCGACAACACATGCCAAACCTTACCAGATTTTCTAAGTATGCGTTGGTTGTACTCATCGTATTTCTGACAGTAGCACTATGGAGACCATCAGAACTGCCACCAAAAATATCAGAATACTTATCCCAAAATGGTGATGGTCTCAAAGATGGGCCAAGCCCATCCGAGCTGCTCCCACCATCGAACATCAAGCTTCCATCCTCCAGCTCGCTCTCGTTCCCTAAATTCGGTAAAATCACTGCAACGTTTGGAGAACCTGATCCTCCATATGAAAACGCTATAGCATCACATAAACTCCACAACGAAATCCATGGGTACCCACACTTTATCCTCCGCGAGAGAATGCTTCGGGGTCTATGGTCCAAGCACGCCTACATCATGACTATCATCGGAAACGAACTTGCAAAGCCAAAAGATGAGCGATTAGCCTGGGTCCTATGGCATGATCGCGATACAGTGCTGATGAACCCGCAAATTCCTCTGGATATTTTTGTTCCCCCTTCACCAGCATTCGATAATATCCACATGCTAGTTACGAACGACAGGAACGGCCTGAACAACGGGGTTTTCCTATGCCGGGTATCGAGTGCGAGTTTTAAATTCTTTGCAAGTGCATTGAGTATCAGAGAGTACCAACCCGAGATACAGTTGAAGTATACCGAGCAGTCGGGAATGGAAGAGGTCATTAAACGTGTACGTCGATCGCATCCCCATCCTTTATTCTTGCTTGTGCTAAAGATGTCATAGGACAATTGGAATAATACTGTAGCATA